CCCGTGCGCGTGCGCGTGCCCGTGCGTGCGTGCGAGCGTGCGTGGGTGGGTGGGTGGGTGTGTGTGTGTGTGTGCGTTTGTGTTTGTATGTTTCTGCGTTCATTTGTGCATGCGTGTGTTTTTGTGTGTTTCTGTGTGCCCTGGGCGTGTGCGTGTGCTTGTGCTTGTGCGTGTGGGCGTGCGTGTGTGTTTGTGTTTTTGGGTTCGTGTGTGTGTGTGTGTGTGTGTGTGTGTGTGTGTGTGTGTGTGTGTGTGTGTGTGTGTGTGTGTGTGTGTGTGTGTGTGTGTGTGGGGGTTCGTGCGTCTGTGCGTTTGTGTGCGCGCGCTTTTTTGCTTCTTTTTTTCTATCGTGGTTGCTTTCTTGCTGGCTTTTTTGCTAGCGTGCTTGGTTGCTTGCTTGCTTGCTTTTTTTTGCTTGCGTGCGTGCTTGCCTGCTTGCCTGCCTGCCTGCTTGCCTGCTTGCCTGCCTGCCTGCTTGCCTGCCTGCCTTGCCTGGCTGCTTGCCAGCTTGCCTGCTTGCCTTCTTGCTGGCTGCCTGCCTGCCTGCCTGCCTGCCTGCTTGCTTGCTTGCTTGCTTGCTTGCTGCTTGCGTGCTTGTGTGCTTGCGTGCTTGCGTGCTTGCGTGCTTGCGCGCTTGCGTGCTTGCGTGCTTGCGTGCTTGCGTGCTTGCGTGCTTGCTTGCTTGCTTGCTTGTTTGCTTGTCGGTTTGGTTGGTTGTTTGGTCTGATTCGCTTTGTTTTTTGGTTTGGTTTGGTTTGGTTGGGTGGGGTGTGTGCTTGTTTGCTTGCTTGCTTGCTTGCTTGCTTGTTTGTTTGTTTGTTTGTTTGTTTGTGTGAGTGTGTTTCCTTTGCTATGCTTTGCCTTCCTTTGAGCTGATTTGTTTTGCTTGGTTGCTGGCTGGCTTGCTGTTTGGCTCGCTGGCTTGCTGGCTTGCTTGTTTGTTTGTTTGTGTGTGCGTTTGCGTGTTTGTTTGTTTGTGTGTTTGTTTGTTTGTTTGTTTGTTTGTTTTATTTTGATTGTTTGTTTGTGTGTGCTGTTTGTTTGTGCTGTTTGTTTGTGCTGTTTGTTTGTTTTGTGTTTGTTTGTTTGTTTGTTTGTGTGTGCGTTTGCGTATCTGATTATTTGTGTGCTTGTTTGTTTGTTTGTTTGTTTGTTTGTTTGTTTGTTTGTTTGTTTGTTTTTTTGTTGGGTGGTTGGGTGGGTGGGTGGGTGGGTGGGTGGGTTGTTGGTTGGTTTGGTTTGGTTTGGTTTGGTTGGTTGGTTGGTTGGTTTTGTTTGTTTGTTTGGTTGGTTGCTTGCTTGCTTGCTTGCTTGGTTGGTGTGTTTGTGTTGGTGTGTTTGTGTTGGTGTGTTTGTGTTTGTGTTTGTGTTTGTGTTTGTGTTGGTTGGTTGGTTGGTTGGTTGGTTGGTTGGTTGGTTGGTTGGTTGGTGTGTGTTTGTTTGTTTCTTTGCTCCTTGTTTTGTTTGTTTCTTTTGTGGGCCTGGCGCTTTGGGAGCTGGTGGTCCAATTTTCTGGCCCCCCAGGAAGCTCATCGCCTACCATTTTGCTCGCCGCATTGTGCTCCCATCCTCAGGGGCAGTATGCCGGCAAGTTTGATGTGGAGAGGCTGGGGATGTCCGACAGCGTGCTGGTGCGGGCACCCAGCTGCGAAGGCTCAGCATAGCATGATACTTTTTGAAAGCTAGAATGTGGCTGGCACACCATGCTAGCTGCTCACTTGACTTAGGAAATAGGAGCGAGGTTGTAGACATGCGAATGTATCCTGCCAAAACGATGCTTGAGGAGGCCTCCAAGCTTGAAGCATGACAACGTCCAAAATCCAATGTCAGGGACACCTAATCTTGGGCAGGTTGCTTCACAAGTTAGCTTACAATTGACCCAGATATTTGGAAAAAGGCATTCAACTGCAAGGCTAAACATGCTTTTCTTAATGTTGCAAGTATCAAGTCAATCCAGCGTTACCCGGTTCCTGAATAGCTGGGGACTTCACTGCCTACGGCAAGCTCGTGTAGGGGGTAAACGAGCTCGCCATTGAAAGAGTGTCAGAATATCGGAATAATGTGTGATGCTTCATATGTTTCGAGTCGCATCGCCTGGAGGGACTTCTTGCCAAGAAACGCAGCAAAGTTGCTGAGGACAAGGCTGCTAACCGTCTCTTCGAATCGCATAGCCGCGACCTCAACGGGGCAGCTGATGGCAGTTGCCAGCAACGTCGGAGCATGCCATGACAAGGGAAGCCGCCCTCCTATGTTGGTGCCCACAAGCTGCAACTGTACGATATGCAATCAGGCATTTCTGTTGTTGTCATGACATGACCTCATGGCTTGCACCATGAAAGGTTCGCTTGGCGCGTCCGTCATCGCACGGAGTGCGCAAGAACACCTGATGGGGGGTAGGATTGCTTGGGCATTCCGCGTAGGCCAGCCCAACAAGAGGTGGGTTTGCGCAGACTTGTTTGCCACAAGCAGCTGAAAGAGTAGCTCGCGAAAACGCGCACGTAGGGATTCGCGTAGGCGCAGGTTGACAAAGTCGGCCCGGGGTCGGCGCCTTTCCACGCGTGGAGGCATCCAGCACGTGCTTTTTTGTAACCCCCCCCAACCCCAAAGAACAAGAGTCTAAGACACACTTATGCAATTTGGAAACATGGCATGGCAGAGAGTAAGAGAGAGAGAGAGAGAAATGGAAACATGCTGGACCATCTAGCAAACATAGTCATAGGTTTGACATGTTGGTGCATTCTGCGTAGCTTGGTCCAGGTCAATCATACGTTCATTCCCCATACGCCCGTACACTTCTGTCCAAAGCAGCTGTGCTGTTTGGTCACAGGTCACAGCGGGGGGGGGTGGGGGGCTCGACGTCTTGTGAGGTCCTGCAGCGAAGTCGGACTACGGGACTTGGGATCAGGAGCGGCAGTCGGGCGCAAGCCCCATAACTATCAGAGACGCCCACATGATGACATGAGGTTCCCATTTGCATCAGAACCCTTTTTTGGAAGGACCCTTCTAGGGCCTCATGCCGTTTGCATGAGGATGATGCACAGTCGTGCCGCTAAGGCGGTTGATATTCCTTGACTCTCGGCTGTGTTGTAGGCACCTTGGCCAATGCCTCAATGCCTTCGTTCCGCGACACTGTGGCATTGTTTGCTAGATGCGTCCTGCCCTCCGCTGAGGTCAATGTTTGAGCGCGTTTGTTTCCCTCTCCTTGTCCTGCGCAACTATTCGGCCCTAGACGAACAACCCTCACTCCTGTGCGAGTCCCTTCCACTCCCGCCTGCCTGTTTGCTGACCAATTTGTGCAATCCCTGATCTTCCTTGCCACTTGATAACGCCTGTCCGTCCAGGACTTCTTCAAAAAGTCCTCTGGCCGAGCCCAACGCGAGGGCGTTTGCTGCTGATCACGGGCATGGCGTCAGCATTCGAATGCCACAGCGTTTTGGCAGGCGGGAATGTCACAGTGCGGGCTCTTGGGTAGTTGTGATTGCCTTCGTGCCTGCTTCAACCACACAGGCGCTCAAAGATTATTCCTTGTGATTATTGAACTAACATCTCTTTTGGGCTATGGGAGAAGGATTCGCCAGAGACAGTCCAGGAAAATGCAAATGGCAGGCGTTGCTTGCATCCATCATTACATTGCCTCGCATCATTTGAGCCAGCCCTGCCTAGGCGTTTGTTTTCCTTGCCTCTTAAGCTACTTCACGCCTTGCTACCACAAGTCGTGGGTGAGTCATGGCAGAACCGGATCAATCAAGCAGAGATTCAATGTCGTTCATTAATCCTGGCTTCCCAATCGCCAGATGCCTTCACTTGATTGCCACATGCGTAAATGATGTGCTACCAAGGGGCAGCGACCCCTCGGTGTTCCTGAATGCAGGATGGACAACTAGCAGCTGTTGTTTGATTCATGGCATTTGAGTTGATTATTGCGTTGGTCAACCAAAACACCGCACACAGTCCTCACATGTTTTTGTTTTGTTTTGTTTTGCTTCAGATTGTTTAGAACAATTCTGGCGCATAGGTCTGGTTCGGCCAGGGCTCCAATATCAACCTTTGGACTAATCCGCCACCCACAGGCAGGCTTATAAATGTCCAACAGATCCCCCAAGACAAGCCTACTTGCATATTCAAGCTCTCTTTGTTTTGTGGCTCAAGCAACCATAGGGCAACTGGTTTTGTCCCCCCGCCTACTTGAGAAGACCCGCTGGTGCTCTTGGTACTCTGTCCAGGCGCGAGGCGCCTACCGCCGGGCGGTTGGTACAAAGAGCCCGGGAAACGGCGCTTGGACCATGGCAGTTTCGGACGCCAACAAATACAGATGACGGTTGCCCGGTGAAACGAACAGTTCGCCAATGCTGGTTTTGGCTTTTTCCGCACCCTCTGTTTTACACCCAGTTTGCGCTGGAGATGGGATCCGTTCATTTCCAATGGCTCAGCGGGAGCCCCCACCGATTGTGCCAAGATAGCTGTCCTTTCCCCTTGGTGATCCTTCGCAGTGATGTCATGCAGATTCCAAAATTCCATGGGGCGGTTACGGGGGGCTCTGGCAATAGTACTTCACCTTGCCAGACTTAGCTAGCCGTTTCATGTCGGTTGCCTTTTTGGTTTTCCATCATTTCCCCTTCAACGAGAAGCTGGACAAAGCCCCCCTTCCGCCCCGTGAAGCAGTTAATGAACTGGCTCAATAAGAGCCTGCGGTGGCGGATGCCTGGCTGAGGGTTGCTGGACTGGCTGCCGTGCATCCTGGTTGGCTGTAGCGATCGACTGGAGAAAGTGGGAGGAACCGGGGGCACGCGGTGTCGTTGCCAGTCAGGCCAATAAGCTGCCAGGGCCCCTGATGTTTGGCGTTTGGCATTCTGAAAGGGAACGAACGAGCAGCGGGGAAATGAAGGAAGCATCATGTTGCACTTTTTACAAAATCGACCTGCAATGTGCCTTTGTCTCCGTTATGGTTCTTACAGGTTTGGGTGTTCATTTAAGGAGTCACTTGCGGGGCCGGTCTGCAGGTTTCTGACCGAGGAGTTTGTGGGCAAGTCCGCAGAGCATGTGGCCATGCTCACCGCCTGGGGGCCGAAGGCAGGATGGGAGTCCGTGGGGTCGCCTGGCCCTTGCAGCTCACATGGGTGTGTCTATTTTAGGGGACCCCCGCAAACAACAACGCAAGCCTGTTGGGCCCCGTTGTTGGTTGGCCAGGAGAAGTTATCTTTTTCTTTATGCCTTGGTAATGGCGCTCACACGCAGCCATAGATGCGTGTAATACGCAAAGATTTTGTATGTCAATCTTTTGCGGCTGGTTGCTTTTGCACTGCCTTGCTAGGGAGTTGGGATGCCACCTGCGTGAATCAGATCGCCAGGCCCTGGGTGATAGCGAAGGCGAGTTCGGAGAAGTCGCAGCGCTCATGCGCCTGTCCCTGAAGGCGCGGGTGGCTGGGTTTTGCCGCCTTTGCTTCGGTCTTTTTGTGTGCTTCAGTCCTTGGTTGGCGCACATCTATATGTTGTGTTGTCGGTTTCTCGATTCAGGCTTCCCCCTACTGTAATAATAAATATCCCCCCTCAATAAGAAGTGTTCTCTGCGGCCTAAACGATATGTACAAAAAGGGTGACTACGGGTCGATCGGATTTCCTCTTTGGCCCTCGTCCAGCCGGGCTCACCCCTTTCCCGAACACGAAAACCACCAAAATCACAGTTTTCCAAGTAACGAGAGTAAATACAGCTACACAAAACCGTTCAGATTGTGTTTCTGCGATTTAACCGTAAGAGGCACAATTCAATCGTGGACTTACAATTATACACATAACTTATTACTTTTAATTAGTCAAAGGTAAATGTGAATTGTGTATTTGTTTGACACCAAAATTGTTTTAGAATACTCCTAATAAGACTGGTGTTGGGATTGGCGTGAAATTAGCAAGTTTAGTATTGTTTGAAATTGGCGTATTCTTAAAGTGGTTTTGGGGATCAAGGGGTTTGGGAGAAGCAGTATTTATGAATAGGATGCATTTATTACTAGTCCTGGGATTTCAGCGCTGACGTCCAGCTTGGCCACCAGTTGAATCGCTAGCAATGTGGGTGACTGATGAATAGAGGCTACCCCCTCCCAAAAAAGAACATTTGATTTGACCCAATAGGGGAGATCGCTCAACCAATTGGGGGGTCTGAATTGCCCCCCTCAAGAAGTTTGTTGGTTTAGTACTGTTATACCTTAGTCTTGGTTTCGTATTGTTAGTGCGGTTTTGTATTGGTTTGGTATAGTCTTGGCCACCCTTCAGACAATTTGTGGGGCGATTCTATTTTGTTTTCGGGTTATTCTTTTCTTTTATTGAGTACCCGTAAGCCTCGGCTGCCCTCCCCCTTGAACAATTGTTGGCTGGTCGCCTTTCAAGAAGGCTTACGGAATTTGCAATTTGGGGGCACGGACGTGTTTCTGTTTTTTGGACTTTTGATGTGTGGTGGAGGACGTGTGATGATTAACAAGGAGGCGTTGGAAAGGACAGGGTCACATTTCATTGCGGCTGCCAAGGCCAGGCTTGGTGATGATTTACGAGACCCAAAGCCTTTTTTCTCCATGTGAGAAACGCTCGTGTATTGAGTGCGCTTTTTCTTTTTATGGAGAGTCAACAATTTGGGGGACACTTTGGTGGATTTCATTAATTATGAGGCACGTTCTGTTTTCTTTTGCTTTTGCGACATGAGATTGCCAAGATGCATGTTGCTACTTTGGCTGCTCCCTCAAAACCATGCGGGGAAAAGCCGCCCGCATTCCTGCTCATTTCCCACGTCAGGCCTATGAGGCCACACTCGAGGCGGGTGCAGTTGGGAGCAAGTTCAGCCATTCACACACACACACACACACGCACACTTTCACCCCCCACCCCCCCAACCACCCCCACACGCACGCACGCTATTGAACACCGCAGGCAAGTGCTCTCGGTGCAACGTGGCCCCCAAACCCACTTGCACAGTGAATCGCTCGACTCAACTAGAAGACACGGTTCATACACCTTGAATATTCCATTACTCACATTGTACAAAAAAAAAACCTGGCTTGGGCTGTCTGTGGCATTCATGTGTATGCTTCTTCCAGAGCTGGCGTTCTTTGCTAGACGTGGCAAGTGTTCTGCAAGCTCACTCGGTGATTCGCTCCTCCATGCTGCAAACCCATTCGGGAGCTTGGCTCTGCGGGTTGCGGAGGCGTCCAAAGCGAATTTCCAGTTCGAGCTCACTCGGGCCGGTGATGGCCCGGCAGCCCAGGTGTGGCTGCAGTTTGAAACATGTGACTCGAGTGGATGTTGTTGGTTGTGAAAGCAAGCTGGCCACCAGGGTTCAGTTGAACCGAGTACCGGAGTTCTTCAAAACATGATTGCGGGCATCACTTCATTGTGACACTTGGCCCCAGCAAGGCGCAACAAGACAATGACGGCGCAGGGTTTATGCAAGCTCTATGACTGTTTTGTTGCGCGGCCGGCAGTTTCGAACGCTTCCGGCGTTTCCCTTGTCTCAACAGCCAACGGCTAAACTTTTGACCGCAGCAAAGGTTCCAGATACTAGGAAGCAGACCTGAATCCAAAACGGGTTGGTGGGTTGCTTGGCTTAATGCCTGGCGTAGAGAACTTCGCACGTGCCCCAGCCTTTCCATAGGCCGGGACTGCCTGGTCATGCCGCCCTCGAACTTCGCCCTGCTGGGCCTGAAGGCGAGCTGATGGCGCGCACGTGTTTGCATCCGGACGAGAGCAGGCGCACGCTCGTGGTTCCAGCATGCAGAGAAGACGCAAGCAGACCATTTTTCCAAAGAATCGAGAATCCTTGGCAATGAGACTGGAGTTGTGTTTTTGCGTTGTACTGGTTCCTGCTAGGATGCCTTTCACATGCTCCTCAAGGCTTGGACGGGCAAGGATTTTGCACGTTGTCGTCATGGGTCTTGGGTCATAAGTCATGGGTGCATCGATCGTGAGTGGAGACCTTTGAGATTTGCTTTCCCATCTTGCTTTCCAAGCAGTAGAGGCAGTATCCCTAGCTACAACGCCGTCCAAGCGAATCATACTATGTGCACCTATGTGTTCCGTTTACTGCAAAAAACAACAACTGTATTGAACAGTGAACATTTCACCGGAGCCGTGCAAGTGCGCTTTGCAAGCATACTTGCAGCCTGCAGAAATGTCCGTTTCCTAGCCGGAGCTGCCAAGTGCAAAACTTAAAGCAATGTAGCAACGAGCTTCTTGCGACCGACCGTTCGAATGTAGTTTTATTCAGGACCCGATCTGTATTGATAGAGACTGTCCTACACAACTAAGCTCCCCCCCATCTCCCCAAATGTGGTCGTATGTTTGTGCCCAGAAGGCGAGGTCCCGCCCATTTGGATAGGACGGGAGCGGAATCCTGGGCCCCACACCCTGAATCATGTTTGATTGTCGGCGCGGGGGCGATTTTTATTTTGCTCACGCAGAGGGTTACACAACAGCGGAAAGGCAAACACAGCGGTTGCATGAACAGTTGACCTCACAAAAGTATCAGAGGGTTGCGCATCAAAGTGAGCAACGCCACATCCTGCGGCAAGTTCCGAATGGCAGCCGAAAGTTTGTAGAGGGTTCACCATTTTGAGCTTTGCCACATGTTGTGCCCGGCCATGCCACAAACCCTGCCCCCCGGCTGTGCGAGTCTGGCCCAAATCTTGAGGGCTTCCGCGTGCTGCTCATTGTGCAGCCTCGGTTCTTCCCCCACTTCCGGGAGGTCCAGCCAGGGCCCAGGAAGACGTGAGGCAGTTGGTTCGTCCACTCCCCATCAAGCGGAGTCACATCGACCAGGGTTGGCCTAAAGAGTTGGCGCCTGGAACAAGATCTCAACCATGTCTTAGGGCTGAACAGGTGATGTCCCGCGAAAAGCTCCGAAAACAGTTGGGCCTGCACAATAGCTTGTGCTGTTCGCAGGCTGGGCTTGGCGGCATGCGGCTTGCCAGATGGCCTTGTGGAGGCAGAGAATGGCAGAGACAAATTAAATGCAAAGGGTGCGGGTGGCATTGCCTCGAGCTGGGCATTAAGTGAGACAATTGGGACTGCATCATTTGGCAGCAGTTGCATGTAGCCACTTGATGCCCATCGCTCTTGGATGGCCTTTGGACTCATTCTCCCAAACTCCATTTGGTATGGTACAATTGGGCTGCGCTGAGAGAGGATCGCATGGAGCTGCATGCTTCACACCTTCGGCTGTCGGATTTGTTTGGCAGGTGCTTCCTGGCATTACTCCTGAAGCGGATCCGGAAGCTGCTGCCTCGGTTCATTGGAAGGGGCTCGGCTCCAACATCGGGGTCCAGGCAAGGGGACGACTGCGCGTGCGGACCCAGATGGACATGACTTGCCGGTGATTGAGATTTGCGAGGCTTCCCTTCCCCTGAAACATGGGCTCAACGAGGGGTAGGTCTGAGCTCCACAACAACGTGAGAGAAGAGTGCCGCATCGAGCTTCTCTGGTTGGAACGTGCCACAGCCTGAGATGTGTGTGCCTCTTTTTGAGCTTGATTTGTTGTGTGTCTGCGCGCCGCCTTTCCAAGAACCCCGGCAACTGGAATGCAAGTACTGGTCAGTAATTTAGCCTGCCAGAGGGCTATACTGCCTTTTGACATCAGCCCCGCTGGAGACGGCAGCATGTTGCAATCTTCAAGCTTTGGTAGGGCTTTGAAAGAAGGTAGAAGGATGTAGAAGGCATGTCACTCCACAAGCGCTGCTTAGGTCTTGCATGCAGCTTTGAAGCAGGTGGACCGACTACAGTTCACAGGCACCCGGGTCGACAAGTTTGATCCACGCCTTGACACAGCGCGATCGCTCCCCTTTGTTCTGTGAGCTGCTGGCTGGTTGATGTCCAGGCAGCTGACCCACGGCCCGATGGCTTCCCTCCCTGGGCTTGGGGTCCTCAACGTGGCGCGCCAGGCTCCTCGGCCATGTTCAGGAGCCTGGTCGTCAAGGCAGGGACAGGGTCCCATGCAATGCTGCAAAGCATGTTGGTGAAGGGCTGCTGTTGTTTTACATAGGTCCCTTTAGTAGGTCAGTTGGTTAGGAGGAGCGTGAATCTGGCCTCGAAACAGAGTGAATTCAAAAGTTAGAAAGATGAACTCACTACCCAGGCGCTGTGTGTTTGGTTGTTAGTATTATCATCAGGTTTGTTTTATCATTATCATTGTTATCATTGACATCACTAGTACGTATCATTTCTTCATGCTTAAAACATAGGGTTCCGTGGGCGTTTTGTGCATCCTCCATGGAATTCCATTGAGCACTGCCCGTGCAAGTGCTCGCGCACCAGGCCATCGAGCTGGGCAACCTTCGCATGGAGCACGCGGGCGAGGCCGGGATTGGAAGGGCTTAGAACAGCGAAGAATCCCTTGAGGCCGCAGAATCTAACCAGTGGCAGGGCATGGGCCCAATCGTCCAATGGATTTTCCAGTCGAGAGGCGGGGAACTTGGCAGCGCGAGGATTGTTGCCATCAGTCCCACACGGGGGGTTCGGGGAACCGCTCCTGTCCATTGCACAGCCAAGGCAACGACAGGGGGCAGAATGGGCAAGCAAGATCAAATAGAAAACCTCTTGTGTAAAGACTTGCTTGGGCTTGCAGCTGCGCAAACAGCCGTGGTCTTAGATAAGGTTCATGTTGTTTAAAAGAAAAGCCTCCTCAGGAATTCACAATGAACGGAAACATCCGCGTGGGCACAGAGCGCAACAGTTTACAATACCTAGGATTGAATCCAAATCGATAGGACAGCATGCTACATGGATGACAGCCATTGCTAAGCATTTGCGTCACGACCTAAACTAGTTACTTGAGGCGTGGATATAGTTCCCACCCTGCCAGGCAATCCCGTTCCAGTAGCGTGCGGTTGCCGGGCATGTGCATGATCTTACCTCTTAAAAACACAACTTTTCTTCAACTTTTTGGGTAACATGGGCTATATGTCTGTAAAAGATTAACTTCCCCAGGGCTTGGAGTTTTAAGGGGTAAGTGATTGGTCGTGAATCGGGCGCTACTGTCGAGCGACATGATGCACAACTTGATTCGATTCCCTCACAAGCTCTGTACCTTCTCTTTGCGCCTGCTTGGAGCTGTGACTGCTTCGCGATTTGAACAGTTGATTGGAGGATGACATAGCATCTTTGAATTGCGAATGGCAAAGAAATGGCCATGAATTTATTAAGGAACCACCTGGAAAGTGGTTGGTGACATAAGTCACCACCTAGATGGTGTCCACCACAGGGTCCCTTATTAAAATTCACACCCAAATGTCTCTAAAGGCAAAAATGATTGCCGGTTGGTGCATGCAGGCCAGCGCCCGTGTTTGTTTCACAGCCAGGTCAGTGGCTTGAACAAGGTGCGCTTGGACGGAGTCTCCGTGCGGCGGCCTCAAGCACGAGGGAGCCGTCGGTTGGTTTGCTTCCTTGAAGCTTCCTGTCGCAGGCCCTCGTTGGACCGAGAAGCTTCAGGTTTTGGCGCATCAAGTTGTGGTGCGCGGTCTTAGTCTTTACTCAGACGCATTCGGTCCTGCCGCAGCACTCCCATGAAACGAAGAATGTGCTGCTGCCTTCCTAGCCCTGGTGAGTATGCATGCAATGCACCTGGCCGGCACCACAGAATCAGATAGTTGATATTTCGTGGATAATGGTTGTTGCTTAGGCTGTGTTATGTGCCAGGGTCCTCCAAATCAACGTTCCGCAGGGCAGACAAATTGCTTAGCGACCGCTCCCTTGCGGACGCTGCAGTTTGCAACCCTGATCCTTGATTCCAGTTGGGGATTGGCAACCCAATTTGTTGCCCTGCGCTCTCGCTTCTTGCTGCATCTTCCCAACAGGCCACAATATGTGTAGAGGTCCACAAATATATACACAATATGTATTTATATATGTATACATGTACTGCCGGCTGTGCCAATGGATAAAGCTAAGGCTGTACGTTTTCCTCATTTGCCTGAGAAGAAATGGGGAAGTATGGGGGGGGATGGAATGGGTCATGCCGAACTTCTTTGGCACCCGGGTCATCCGAGGACCCACCCTGCAGTGGCACAAGGGACCTGCTGGGCTGCCATGGCCAGATACCCATGTCTTCAGCATCGCGGTGCGTGGGATTCAGATTGTTTCCAATGTTTGTCGATTTCGCTATGGAAGTCATTGTGAAGTTGATGGAAAACATCAGGGGGCTGACTTTGGAACCGAAGAGAAGAGTGTGGTATGAAGCCCTACTCACCAATCCTTGCACATATGCAGAAAGGGAGCTGCCGCAAGATACCCGCGGTCATGCATTGGCAATTGTTTTTGGATCTGGTGCCTTTGTTGCAAGCTTACTTCGGGATAAAACAATCTCACCCACGATGAAGGGTTGTTTATTGAAGTGTTTTCAAGTTGCTGGTTTGGACTTATCATGGCAGTTGCAATGTGGTGATGAAGTCATGCCACGTATTATAGGATGCACACTTTATGCTGGAAGTGTCATGATTTGGCCAGCCTGGCCTCAGTTTGCCAGAGGCTCCATTTTTGTTTGACGCAAGTATTGGGTTGGTCCCCCGTACTTTTGACACTTTCCTTTCAGAGCAAACTCATACTGTCACAAGGAAGGTCCTGAGTGTCAGCCATAGTCTGAAAGTCAAAGTTGTTTAGCAGATATTGCCGTGACGTGCTTAGATGAGCATAGTCCAAGCTTGAGCTTGGGACATTTACCAATTTCATGCTGCATGGGGCTCGGTCTATGCACCTGTGTCAGGCCGAGCTGCTTGCCTTTGCCGTTGGCTGTCTCAAGAGCTGCAATTTGATGTTGTTGCCGTGGCTCCCCACACGTGACAAGCCAGAACTCAGCTCTCAACAGAAAATTGAAAAAGGCACAAACTCCGTTTGCGAGTTACGGATATTTTTGCTAATTAAGGACGTTGTCAGGGCATGGATTGAGAGAGGCCTCCTGACACCCAGGCGAACAATGGAGAGCTGTGCACATCAGCCGCATGGCAGCAGGATAGGTCATGACAAACATCAGTAGGCGTGTGTGGGTGTGTGCGTGTACGCGTGTGTGGGTGGATGAGTGCATGCGTGGGTGGGTGGGTGGGTAGGTGTGTGTGTGTGTGTGGGCGTCCGTGCGTGTGTGCGCGCGGCTCGTTTCTAGTGGCTACACGCTTTGCGGATCGTTGCAGACAATGGTTCATACACTTACATAGGCAGCCTACAAGGCATCAACAAACTACTCAAACAACGCAGCGGGTAGAGAGTCAAAAAGCATCTTGGCCCATCACATTTTGCAATCGAAGCATCGATTTATTTGTAGATTGATATTGTTTTGGAGAGCCTCCTTATAAGGTGGGGTCTGGGGATGGATGAGGCACTGGGAAATACGATAGGTGTAGTTTCAACCGTTGCCCATGTCCTACATGACAGCTGCAAGCAGCGTTGCTGACATCTTTTGCTGTGCGCCAGCGATTGCTGGCACTGGAGGCATCTTTGGTGGAGCTTGGGCCTCGGGGCGGTTCGTGCGTGCGAAGCAGCTTGAGCCCTTGAAATCCAAGACCCTGACGAGCGTGCATCATGTTTACATGAATTTCAGCCAGCGTGAGACAACGTCTCTCACGTGTAAACGGTATGTAAGCTTGCGCGGTGCGGTGCCGTCAAGCAAGCCCACGCCAGAGAGACATGAGACCGCAGGTTTGACCCCGCAGTGGGAGACACACCGGAGAAAGTGAAGGATGCCTTGCTGGAGGTCTGGCCCTGGCTTCGGGAAGGTAGGCTTGCGGCTTTCTCCTCTTGAGCGTGCATCGCAGATGGGTGGGCCAGGTAGGGGCCTTTTTGGGTTCGGACTCCTTGTTGGCGGAAAGCCTTCACGGCGATGCAGAAGCGCAACAGCAGCTGTAGCAGATACAAGGCATGAGCCTTGTGTCTGGTCAGGGGGCTCAACTTCAGTTATTTGTGGTTCCACTTGCAGGGATTTGTTGCTCGGGATCTTTGCTCTACCTTAAGCGGTGCGCCTGTAGATTGTGTGCTCGGGCGGCTTTCTTCTCGGTAAGAATTCGGGAGGGGTTGTGAGGGAAGCGCGGGTTTCTTCCGCGCAAGGAAAATGAAGCCTTCCAAGCTATGCACAAGTTGAGCAAGTACTGCCGAAGCAATCGGGCGGTTTGAGCGTTTGGGCAATCCCCCATCAACCACCCAGTCCAACATCCGCAATTCGCAGCTCTACCGGGTCCCCAGTAGTGCCCTTTTACCAACCTTCTTGGGGGAGGGTTCCCCTACTAGAAAAGACAAAAGAGAAAAATAAGTTAGTACCAACTTGTTCTATCCTCTCTACTCAAGAACCTGGTGTAGTAACTTTGGACCAGGAAGAAGCAAGGACTCCTTCCCGATGCAGATGACCTTGGCCAGGCGGAGAAGACTTTCAAGCTGGGCCGTGATCCTGCGGAGCAGAGCAGCCCGCGAGTTTTTGTGGCCTTGGAATGGATGGGCTCACATTTTGTTCATGTTATTTGTCCTCAGTCAGGTTTTATGTGGGGTCTAGATGCCAAGTATCAAGATTCAAAGCAGGCTTTTGTGGCTCGAGCGCCGCGCTTTTTCACCGGCGCTCGCCCGGCCTCCCGGTTCCGCCCTGGGAACTGGCTTCAGCCCTTTGAAGCGCCAGGCTGGATGTGCTGCTGCGGGATGGCAAGGCGGAGCAGCTGGAAGTCAAGACGGAGGATGCGGGGGACCACGGGTTTCCGAATCGGCTGGCTGGACGGCATGTGTGGCCACGGCCCCTGTGCATCCCCACACGGCCATGTGTGAAACGTATTGCTTATTGCTGGGCATGGCAGGCCAATTGTGCCCGTGGAATGGAGGCCACAGTAAGCATTGATACAGATTGTCGCACTTGTTCTAGTCTGACGTTAACACTGACAGCGACCGGGACACAGGATGTAAGATGTGCTAAGCATGGAACCTTTTCCACAGATCACAAGTTTCTCGATTGTTCAGTCGCATGAGTCGACTGTCTCAAGTTACGAGTTCGGCGTGGGAAAGTTTGATTCGAGGAGCCGGCGGATGGCTTCCGAGAGTGGTGGGAGAAGACCGTTCTGGCGACACCCAGGAGGGGACGCATGTCTTGGCAACAGCCGAAATGGAGACTGCCAACTGGGAAGGGAATGCGCACGCCTACATGTTATCCTTTGGGAGGATAGCCAGCACGCACTGCCCCAATGCATCGAACACGCAAACCTCAACCAGTATGTGAAGGGGGCAGTGAGCACGCAGAGTTCAGAACACAATGCACCAATCCTTCCGTTTGCACCAAACTTTCAGTGTTCTTTTGACCGAGCGGCATGTCGGGATGGTCGGCGATGGCCCATGTTGTAGCCATGTTTCAGCGGCAGATTTGCATCACACCCTGCATCATGCTTGAGAAAGTCCCGGACTGGCTGAGCGGAGGGAGGCAATTGCAACACACACACACACACACGTACACGCACATTACCAGTGAACAGATGCCGCAGGTTTGTTTCTGGATGGACCGCGCCGTGGTGCATTGCAAGACGCGAACTATGTGGCCTTTGGAATGTTTTTGGATGCCCGCTCTTGGTTATTGTTGAGTAGAGATCATATGCCTGCAGCCTTTGCAATCGGAGCCTTTGGCAACGGAAATTAGCCTTACACTCCGCAATAAGGTGTACGTGCCTTGCTTTCACATGATGGCAAGCTAGTTGCCATTCTATGAATGCTGGCTCTTACTCATTTGCCAGGAGTTCTGCATTTGCCCACTTGGCCAGCTGTGTTCAAACACCTGCACCAGACCCGAGCCTAGCATTTACTCCAACATTTCCCAAACCCTTGCAGTCAAACAATTTCATAAGCCTTGATCATCAACCCCCAAAGCACATCCAAAGTCCAAGAGAGCCAACACCGAACCCAACACTAACACTGCCCACCTGGTCAGGCAGCCCCTGAACCCAGTTGCAAGTGGCACCATTCTTTGTGGAACACCCAGCCCAGCAAACCCTTCTGTTGGTGCCGAAAGTGGGAATGGGTTGGCTCCGGCACCAGGGATGGGCCTCTGCAGCTGAGCACCAACCAGTCTCTAGGCGTGGTCCATTTGGGGCGAGCGGACCGGTTGCTTTGGGAGACTTGGACATTGTGTCGTTTTCGACTGGAGACCTCCCAGTACCTCAGTCAGAATGTGCCTTTTGGAGGTCCCATGATGCCCAGGGTAGACACACCTTCCTTTCCAAGCAAGCGGCGCCTCAAGCAACTGTGCGCTAAGATGCTTTCAAATTCCCTTGCAGCCATGGTTGCCAACATTCCTACGCCCACAGATTCAAGCAAACGTTGTGCTTGAGAGGCATGCACCCCAGCAGAGTTCCCAATTGGTCAACTCATGCCAGTGGAATTCAGGAACCCAGTCAGCTTCGGCCCTTGACTCTCCGTGAACAGCGTGCCAGACGTGTCCTTCCTTGCGCCTGTGTCCTGTAAGGAAACCAGGCTGCTCTAGGGGCGAAGGGCAAAACCGAAGCCAGCCGCTTGGGGCAGATCCGTGAGGCCACTGCATCTACGCGCCCTCCATGGAGCGCGCCGTGGAAGGCGCCACCGCGGAAGCCTCCAACTTGTACTTCGTTGGGGTGCCAGAGGACGGGCAACACGTCCAGGGAGGGGGAGGCCTTGGACGCAGGGCGCACAAACCGCCAATTCGTCCAACTCAGCCCAGTTAGTTGGCAAATCAGCCAAGAGCAGTCCAGGAAGATGGTAAAGGTGTTGCGCGACATTGGCTGCTGCATGCAGTGCTTGGACTCGAGACGTGCATGTTGCTGATTGCATGCCTGAAAGCAATGCGGCCCCGGAAATACAGCCCTGCAGCCAGCAGCCCACCAATTTCAACCAACATGTGGTTTTCCCATGCACGTTCGGTCGGCGCAAGCGCAATGAGCTCCATGTCTTGCAAGGCTCGAAGGACAACCAACCCAGTCCTGTCCGCCTTCCAGCCAGGACCCCTCAGCGGCCTCTGCCCGCGCAGGCACCACAGGGGCCAAGCTGCCAGAGAGCGTATTTGGAGGTATGAAGCGGGGCCCCCAGGGCCGCGGGTTTTGCGCGTCTGTGACTCCGCAGGCAATGCACGTAACATGCGCATAAGATGCAACAAACACATGAAAGCTGCAAATAAGCAGAATTACTAGCCGCTGCTCTCCAGGGCAGGCGTTGAAGTAGGGTGGGGCGAAGTTGGTCTACCCACGTGGACCCGGTTTGGTTCCCTGTTTTGTGGAGGCTGTCTTCGCAAGAGAGCGTGTTTGAACAAGGGGCCACATGAATTGAACCCGAGCAACCTGGTTGACGTAAAGAAACTTCAAGTCAATCTCCGCATTACTTCGCACAATTCGCAGCGAGAGCCTCTTCAGGACCTACACTCACGCAGTTGCCGGAGATCATGATGGCGTTGGCACAGCTTCGGTCTCAGCCCCGCAACTGTGTCACCCATTCGCCAATTGCATGCCTTCAAGGGTGAGCAGATGTGAGCAGTTTCAGACTACACGTGTCATTCACAACGTTTGCTTGGCAGCTTGGCAAGATTGGGCACGGGTGGGGCATGACCACTACTTTGCAAGATCTCAGGTTCAAACCATTTTTGACAACACGAAGCGACGTGGGGCAAGCTGGCGAGACCAGGAGTGGCTGGGTAGAGCTTTTTCCCTGTTCTGAAGGTATAGTGTTAGTTGATTTCCGGTTGGCATTCAAAGGGTAGCCTGCGTGAGCAAAATGTTGTATATTTGCCGAGGGGGGTTGCTTGGGCCGATGTAGGGTGGATTTCAGGCTGATTTCCAGGTTGGTTCAGAGGTCCCTCGAGGACAGCACATGACAGTTTATTGAGGCTTGGCTTGAGGTTTGCATCTGGTTGGCGGCACAGGGGTGGGTGTGACAGTGCCCTTTCCGCATTAGAATCTGGGAAATGGGGGTACAGTGGGTCCGGATGCATTTTGCACATTGTTGGGTTGCGGCAGAGGTCCCGCTCTGTGCGGGATCGACTGGTTGGCCGGTTGCTGCCACTTCTTCTTTTTTACCCTTGCTATTACGATACCTGCGAAGCTTCGGGGTTCGAAATGTTGGTTCGTAAGCTTCGGGGGGGCCTGGACGATACCTGCGAAGAGGACTTGTCTAAAGCAGGGGTGGAAATGGCAGCGTTGGCCCTGCTGGCAAGAAATATCAAGTACACTTGGAATGGGCTTGCTCGCGGAATGGTTTGGTTGCTTCGGAGGCTGTTTGCATGCGGCACTTCATCAGGAGGACGCCTATGCACAGTACGAGCTGAGCGAAGTGGTTGCGCCCCCAGTATGTCAATATCAATATCAAGTTCTTTGGCTGTGTGTTCACTTGGGTGACAGTGTTGCTGAGTTACTGGTTGCTGCCTGTCACATTTGACCCCCCGCCCCGCTTCTCCAATAGTAATTTATTTTTGGACGCTTGCTGTAGCATTGCCATTCGTCTTGCAAGCGCGCTAGGATAAGCCGGTTCCAAAGCAGAACTATTTTTGTTTCCGCGGGGGGGGGGGGAGGGGTCCGGGAAAACCAACAGAAAAATACATACAATTTCAAGGACCCCTTGTTTTTAGTGTTCAACCGTTTAAGCACCCGTAACTTGTCAAAACAACCTCTCGGCTTCAATTGGGGCCCTCGATTGGACATCGCTCCTCTGCCCTTGTCGGCAGCGCATGGCCGCCCTCGTGCTCCGTAGAAGCGGCTGCATCCGAAATACCTTGAGCGCTTTGGCAATCTGCTAGCGGCTAGCACCGGGGGTAATCAGCGAATCAAGCTGGCGGTCCTTTGCACATCTCACTCTCAGCGATGCTTGTAGCCAATCAGTTACTCCCATGGACCATTTAGGCCTCTGAGATTCTTGTCCAGCCGGCGAAAGGACATGGCATGAAAACCGAAGCAGAGGATTCTTTCGGTGTGAGTGGTGTACACACGAGGCCAACCACCAACACTGGTAGGATTGCAAGCACCGTGCCTGTTTCAATCAAACAACGCTCCTTCTGGAAACATGCAAGACTGCCTGCTGTCCCTACTCAACCAGCTCTCAAATTTGCAATGTGCACACAGCCGCAGCTTGCACATAAACATTCCTTGATCACCCAGGAACCCCAACTTTGGTAGATGGTGAACTTTCGTTTGGTTTGATCAAGTTAGTTCCTGAAAGTTATTGTGTTCATCGCACCTTTCTTGGACTCGAGCTACCACCACTTGCTAGTTTTTGACCAGCCTGGCATGCATGCCGCAATTGGAACTTGACATGCACGGATGGAACTGAGCATGTGACCCTGGCAGAAGGCGAACACATCTTGACAAGCCCTTTGCTAGGCAGATGGTGTCCAGCCGATATATGATGTTGATGATAATTCCTGCTGACACCTCTCAGGTCTTTCAATTTGACGGCAAGCTCCCACGAAGGGTAGATGCACCACCAAAAGCATACTCACAGATGGCTGCAAAGTCTGTGCGGCTAGGCCGAGATGCTGTTGGAGTTTCTGTCCCCTCGGGACCAGCAAACCTTCAGCCAGCAGATCTCCAATGTTTTGGAGGTGGGGCCTTAGAGAGTTAGACATGTGATGCAGTGAGGTTCCCTGCTGATAGGGCTTATTCCTCATGCAAGCGCACGGCTGGGTTAGACTTTTGCCAGTTGGCTTACCAAGTGGGCGGTTTGCTTCTTGCTTTGAGGGTCCTTGTCCCTCTTTCTTGGTGTCTTTTAGCCAGCTGGCTTGAAGTGAGAGCTACAGCTGGTGGATTCCACAGGTTTTGCTCGCAAGACTTCCGAATCTACTTGGCCATGGGTCAAAATTCCGTACCAACATCCCAATCCCCACTAAAACAGACCAAAATTGGTGATGCACCACCCCAAAATGGTACCATTGGTTTTGACCCATAGCCACTTAGGTGGTTTAGGTCCTACATTCCCCTTTTTGGGTCCCTGCAACCACTCCCCCGGCAGGTCTTTAGCGGCTTCATGCCAGAGGCCACGGTGCCCTACCCCGGCCAGAGCCTGGTCAATTCCGAGGGCCGCAGCCGAGAACCCAGAGGTCTGAGTGAAGTCCTGTGGACTTCTCATGAAACACCTGGCTGTGCCCAAAACGGCTTGCCCTGGTAAATGGAAATAAGGACCACAGCAGCGGTCTGGTGGTTCAAATTTAAATTTTCACCCAGGCCCACCTGTTTTCGGCACCGAAGAGCCCACAGACCGCAGCAAGACATGGGAAAGGAACCAAGCGATTCAATGAAATGTGCTGGGTGTCTGATTCACACATGGCATTCGCCGCTTGCAGCTCTCTTTCAAGGAGCAGCAGGTGGCTGGGTTGGCTTTTTATTTGGGTTGACTGACGCCTCACTTTTCTCTCGGGCTTGTGCACAGGACAATGCATGTCCCCCTTACAATTTAACCGCCAGCTGTGTCAAGTTGCCAACAAGCCGCGATGCACACATCACGCCTGGACAAACGCAAAGCTGGGTTTCACCTGTCCCCTTGGAGTTTAGGCTGTGGGCTCGGAGTGCCATGGACTACTGTAGGGTGTTGTTTCGTTTTAAGTCCCGGCCCCTTCTGTTGCCTCAGGCTTCCGTCTCTTAATCCATTTGCTGCGTGCACTTTCCCTGCAGGACCTTTTTTTGGGGTTTTTTTCTCCCCCACTCCAGGTTTGTGCTTGCAGTGCTGTTTCGGTTCTCACTCCGTTTGTTGCCAGATGTCCTCCTTGCGCCTCAGTGACTCAGTGACTCAGGTCAGCTGGTGACCTTGCAGGCCCTGAGACCGGCCAGCGGCCTGGAATCGCTGGAATCGCTGGCTTCGGGCTTCGGGGTTCCGAAGGTGCCGGTTGGACCTTTGGGCTGCAGGGCTACCAGTTCAACACTCCCGTCTTGTGTCGAGGGACGTGATTTTCCGGCTTTTGAGGGAAATCAAGGAAAGCGAATTGCTGAAGACACCAAGGGCGGGTGCAACAGTTGGCATGCGTTTGCCTGGTCTGCGCGATGCTTGCCATGTTTGTGCTGGAGGTCCTGACAGCATGAGACATGTTGAAGTTGCAACAGAGAGATACGGGCGGTGAGTGTGGCGATTTTGCCCACAAAGGATGCTACGGGGAAGTAGCATGCATATTCACATCCGCGCCTGAACATACCTCCTGTGCAATAATGCTATTGCCTGGCGAAGCACGAAAGAATGGGGGGGATTGGTTCGCTGTTCGCCGACGCGCTCAGACCCGCAAGAGCTTCCTGATCCCACAGGGCGTGGGCTTGCCCGAGGACAGGTGTTGGTGCTGTCGGGCTGGACAAAAGTGCTTACCCTTGTCAGATGGATATACAAACTGCAAACATGGCTCAAGTGCCTTCTTGCGGCCGCTTGAAGCAACTCCAACGATTTGCAAGTCCTGTCCTCGCACGGCCTCACATTGCAAGTTGGTTGTAGCATGGCTGGGGTTGGCGTAAACCAAACGCACGATGAGAACAACGGATTGGTTGCCCGTGCAGCTAGTTTCGCAGCTTGGCTGCAAAAGCAATGTGCAACGTGCCCAAAGCACAGGAGGTAACATATTGACTGGGGCAGGCGTGAGGCATCCATTTGCAAGACATTCAATCGCTTATGGCGACAAAGACCCGCGCTGAACGGAGGACATTGTCCGTATGGCGGCCCTTTCTGCCATGTCTCCCCTGCCCTGCCCTCAGGGCAAATGAAGCACGGATTCACAATCATGGAAGCTCGCACAAGGATTCAGGAAGAGTACCGTCCATTCGGAATGGCACTCTGTTTGCTTGTTGCTGGAGTAGGGATGGTGTCATCACACATTCCATTCACTTTTTGCGCCTTTGCAACCTTGAAGGGGCAGAACTTTGGGGAGTTGAATGCATCCAGTGCTAGCACGACATCTTACGCAGGCGCAGAATCACTGCATTGACCTTTGGCTTGCCTGAAGCGCACAAAAAAGGGCTTTGCCTTGAGAATACACCTGGGTAGAACCGACAGCCTGAGCGGGTGGTGGATAGAGCCAAGACAGATCTGCGAGCCTGCCACCCCCCAAAGGGTATAAGAACCCTTGAAAACCAAGGATCCCATGGGGCCTTGGTGTCTCCTTGCCGTGCTTAGGAGGGAAGTGCCAGCAGTTTGAGGCTCAGGGCGCCTCTTGAGGCTGAGACTCCGCAGGGACCGTTCTCCTGGTTTTTGTTGCCTCATGGATTGGCGTTCCAGATGGCCAAAATGGCGGAAGCATGTGGTGAGCAAACTTAGACCCCCCCCTCAAACAAAAAACATGAAACGCCCTGCCTTTCAGTCACAAATGTCATGAACACGGCTGGCAAACACATGGATTTCGCAATCACGCTCATCAGAACAGCCTGAACTTCAACTGTTGAGAACTGACCTCTCGATGTTGTTCGAAGCCTCCCCCACTCCAGCTACGCTTGTAGACTCAGTTGTTCATGCATTGCTTGCAACACGGGCGAAGAAGCTCGTCTTGAAGCCATACTACTTTGTGATAGGTGGCTGTTGCATCATGCTGTCGTATCTACACATAAAAATAGATACATATAGAGTATATATCGAATTGGACGCTGCCCAAACTGGCGAGAATCTTGGGGTGTGAGAGGATGGGCAATTTCCTGTGAGGCCGTTTGATGCCGTGTGATTTTTCCTATGCAGCATTGAACGTCCTTGTGGCATTCTTGTGGCATGGGGCACGGAGAAGGCTTCCGTGAGGAGACATGTGAGCATTGTGACCAAGTACGCTCGTTGAGTCTCTTTCGGCATGCTTTTTGTTATGCTCAGAAAAGAGAGAGAGAGAAAAAAAAAAGAGAGAGAGAGAGAGAGCGAGGGAGGGAGAGAGAGAGAGAGAGAGAGAGCAGGAGTCTTTGTGTGGATGTGTTTTGAATTATTTTGACATGAATGGGTGGGTTCCGAGCAAGCAAATCTGCAAAACAAACTGCATGTTCTTTTTTGCAACCCCCGGTGCCTTAGCCATGGCCTGAGACATAGAACTTGCGGCCCCAAGGATTTGCACCTCCTCGGGGCTGCCCAGGCACGGAGCGCTAAGCCGAAAGCATGACACCTGCAGGCTCATGCGTGTTGAAAGCGATAGGTTCATAGTACAGTTCGGCCAGGTCGGCAAGCTCCGTGTCACTGATCCTTTGAAGCTGCTTGGCTGCTTTGGGACGGTGTGTGTGTGTGTGTGGTGTGAAGATTTTTCAGTAGGTTCTAGGAGGCATGGGTTTGAACTAGTTGTGCCAGTAGAAGTCGTCGCATATTTGTTTTATTTGCCTTGCCGCACCAGGTCCTTCATCAAAGTGGTGGAGAAGCAGCTGAAGTGGAGGCACACGGGCAACACACAGAGCCAAGCAATGTGGCCGCTGCGGATTGTTGAGCCTAATGCCTGGTCGAGAACCAACATGGGCACGTGCTTCAAGCTGATAGAAATCTCCTTTGGCCAGAGGCGTCAGGTCAGGAAGAGCACGCCAATCCCCAGTAACATGAGTTCATGGGGCCACAGACCAAGATCTTGCTAACAGAAGTCTTGGCTTCATGATTCAAGAGGTTCTTGGACCGATTCTCGCCGAGAACCGCGCATGTGTTTCTGAGGGTGCACTACCATGCCGACGCGGAGCAGATGGTTGCAGCCCTTCAGCATAGTGAGTGCCCCGTGCTTGTAAAATCTCGGTTGTGTCGCCAAACGCCAGGTCAATAGCGAAAGGATGGGGACAAGCACGCCTTTGAAACCGATGAAATCGGCCAGTTGGAAGGGAACACCATGGAGACAAAGCCATGCACCGTATTTGCAGGAGGTTGGCGAAAACACCTCACTCTTTCCAAGATATTTAAGATGAATGGAAGTCGGGATATCAGCTCGAGCTTCGGACTTGCCCCGAGCGGTATTTTTGACAAGTGGTTGCGCCATATGGCTGCGAACTTTCGTGGACTGGACCATTGTTTAATTTCCACCAACAGCTTGTGAGGTGGCTCAAGCCGCTTTGAAAGAGTTTTTCGGGCCGTCTGAGGACCACGCATGACCGCTCGGGGGCTGTTGCGACTGGCAGGTACCCACCGTATTTCTTCTGCGTGAAGGACCGCCGCCACCTGCCGATAGAGGCGCCAGTGTCATGCCATATCCTGCGATCCCTCTGCGCGATCGCAAGTTCGCCGGGGGGTCACAAACGAATATTTTGTGAAGTCCCCTGTCTCTCCGGCCATTGCAGTCTGTTGAGTTTGTTTTTGTGTAACCCTTGCTGCAAGCTTACAGAGTCACTTGCTTGTGAAGCGTAGTGGCCCGTCGCCTACACGGCTCGGCTGCGTGTCGTTTGCAGGTGGTCAAGGCGGTTGCAGAGAAAGGTGGCTACCTCTATGAAGGCTTGCCTAGCGATGCTTGCCTGCATTAAGTTGCTGTAGAGTGTGTGGGGTTGTGTGGCTTGTTGGCAAATGCCATGGGCCCGAGTTGGCACCTTTCTCAGCACAATAACTGCCAGGGGGGAACAGGCCATGACGAGTTTGCATGCTTGCATCCTGCAGAGGCCGTCTCGAGAGCAAGCATGGGACTTTGGCAACATGCTGTTTGAGTGAGCACTCCTATGCCGGCGCTGCCCAGCCAGACTTTACCCAAAGACTGTGTCCCTTGTGACAGCCAGCGGCACCCCTTGAGAGGCGCACTGTTCAGAGCCTCATGCTGCTTTGCAGGCAAAACAACGCAACAGGACACCAAAGAAAGACCTTGAGCAACACGGGGAAACTCTGGGAAAACCAACCTCCGAATGAAACAAATCCTGGTGGAAGGCTTCTGACCTGCCATCTCAGGATGCTTTCTCGCTCTTCCGGTGCATGACCGCTTCCCAGGCATCGGGGGCCAAAAACGCGAAAGCCCGCGAGAGGAAGTGGAGCGTCAAAACCGGGCGGGGGGGGGGGGGAGACTGAAGTGGTTGTCATCGAACACTTCAGAGCATCAAACGCTAAGAATTCACGTTGAAGTTGAAGGGAGAGCCTTCCACGCAAGGAGCCCTACCGTCCCCAGACGCCCAGATTTCAATTGCTTCCAGTGTAGAACGGTGCCAAAAAGCCGGGAAGAGTGGGACGTGGAATTGTTCCAAGCATGCAACTCAAGTACGATCATGCGACTTAGCATGAGCTGCTACATCTAGATGATTGAGACGCAAGCCAAAGGCGGTACTATGAAACCAAATCAACCTGGCAGAAGGACGGCTTCTCTTCATTTGTGGCCCTGATGATGTTTGTTGCCTCGTCCCATTTTTATATTGGATTTCATCTCTTGATGGGGTTTCCCTGTGGCTTCCCCTTTTAAGACCCAGGGAAAACGGAAAAGGGGGGAGCCCTGTGCCAAGTGAGCTGCAAGGCTTGGACGGTGGCCTGCACCGAGGCAGAGGTCCAGCAGGCGGCCAGACGACCTGCCAGTAGAAAAAGCAAGCTTTTGCGTCTTGGTTCCAAGGAAGTAAAAGGCCCCACCCCCCCCCCCCCCACCCCCGAGAAAAAAAAAGATTATTTTTTTTTGAGTGTTTCCCCCACCCCCACCAACCAAAAGGGGGGAGGGGGTCAGCAGAAGAAGACACACCTAATTACCCCCGCCAAAAGTGTCCCAAAGGCTGAGGAGCTGCTGCTGAAGAAGTGGCACAAGATCGGCCTTCGAGAGGAGAGAGAGAGAGAGAGAGAGACGGGTCTCCCACCTTTCAGAAAAAAATTGGCAATTCCAGATTGCAGCCCAGGCCACGTGCCTTGACAAAGGAAAAGATTGCGTTTGGGCGGCGTCTCTTGAAACCTTCCTTTCGGGAGTGTGGAAATCTGGACGTGGTGCCCACGCGATTGGATCGCCGCTCTTGAGCGTTGCTTCCGGAAGTGGGCGACTGAAAAGCGCCAAGTAGCGCAGGCCATCCAGTGGGTAAAGCTGAGCACTGCTCCTTGCCATTCGGCAACTCGGTGGAGGGCCACATGTGAAGCCTTGTCCCGTATTTCGTTCGATGGGAGCTTAGCCCGGGGCATGGCATTGGCATGGCTTCTTCGAAGTTGCGTTGCAATAGGGATTTGGTGTGAACAACTAGGGGCATGACTTAGGCATGGCTCTGTACAATGCCTGTAGCTTATACTTCGTTCATTCTGGTAAGCAAATCCTGGAGGATACGGACACGTAAGTGAACCAACCAGACGCTAGTGAGCAGTTTCGTCAACAATGCTAGTGCCCGGCACTTGCATTTGTATCGTTGCATGAAAGTCAGAGTTCAGCAGATGTTCATTTGCTCCCACGATTGTAGATCACGGAGGGCTTGGTTCAGGAGGAGTTACTGTTCAGATGCCTGGGTCGGGCCGAAGAGTTGCCCCCTCCTGATCAGTTTCAGCGCATTCCAGCGTGCAGCGCGTGCAGCCCAGGAGCCTTTGGAGGCGCCAGAGGTTGTCAAGTGGGCACCCTGGTTCGCCTTCCGGAAGAGGCTCTTTGGGTTGTTGGTTCCAGATGTTTGGTGCTGTCCGCTTCTGTTTGCTCAAGTTGCCGGCTTCACCCAAAGCCCCTTTCGAACCTGGACCTGACGCAACATGCTCCCCGCCCTCGCTAGGGGAACATTTTGGAATCTGGGCACTGTAGAGTAGACACGTTGAATTCGTTGGTTTATGTTCAGGTGACATCCTTGCTGGGGTGATGCGCCCCGGGCCGCGCCGCTACAAAACCCAACGGCACAGTTAACTTGCTGCAGAAAACCCTTGCCTCGCATACTGCCGCGCCGGTGCGGCAGTTAAGCACCAGTGAGTGGAAAGGGTGCTTGTTCTGTTTATGGTACATTTGGTTCTGATGGCAACGGGTCCATGTCTTGCCTGAAAGGCCTGAGCAGGAACCAGCTTAAACGGGCAAATGCATGCGACAAGCTTGCGCTTGTTGAAATCAATACTCTGTTCCATTTGCGGCCTTATTTTGCTGTGCTTGCTGTTGGTTTGGTTTGCCTTATTGCCATGTCTTGTTTGGTTTTGCCCTTGCTTTCGAACTTGCGGGCTATCGTGTGGTCTCTATGTCCTCCCTCCTTTGCTCCATTTGTGCTATTTGAACAAACACAGCGCTTGATGGCGATGTGTGCAGATTTAACCACACGATTTCTTTGTTGTCAATATGTATATACCTAAGCAACTCCCAATAGTCAACAATGTAACAATGGTTCTCCAGCGGAATGGGGTACAACACTGGTGCGCCCTCCTGTGCACGAAAATGGCCCGCCACCCTAGGCCAAAGCGCCGAGAGATGGACATCGGCGGTGGCTTCGGAGATACTGGCCTGGCCCAGGCGATTGTCTGGTGAATGAGGAAAAACGTGTCGTGCTGTGTCAGGTGATGGAAACGCGCCCGCCATGTTTTTTTCCTCTTTTTTTTCTCCTTTTTTATTTTTATTTGGTCTTCCAAAATCGGCCTGCAGGGCACAAAGCCAAAGACTATAGGCCTTGTGCTTGGCCTTGTGCTTGACAACTTTCTTGGTACGCTTTGAGAGCTGTTCCTGCCATGAGGCGGCCTAGCAACTCGTAAATCACCCCAGACTAAGAATGGTGCCGCATGAGCTGAAGGCGTTTGCCTTGATGCCCTGTTGGATTCTGAAAGCATTCCCTTCTGGGTCATGTTTTTCTTTTCTGTGCCACTCATTTCACCAACCCATGTCTTTGCGAGCGTAATTTGCCGCGTTTGTTCAGGGTCGGCCAGGTTAGAGCATTTGGTAGTCTGGTAGTTCAAGCCAGGAACCTTTGCGGGAAGCTCTTTGAGGCAGCGATTTGGCCGATTCGCCCACAAAGATCAAATGCTACAAAACCATGGATCAATATGGCAAACTTTCAGCAACAAGAGGGCGCACCATTGCCATTGGCCTAAGCTGCAACCATGGGATAACCTAACTCCAAAGCTTTTGCATTCGAGTGGCGCGTGAATTGCCAGTTGCAGTTGTTATTTCCCAGCCACGGTCGAAGTGCGTTGCATGGTTTCTGTTTGGCATGGTCGCCATAATCTAGAAGTTTAAAGCCACGAAACCTGGGTTCATGATCAGAGGGCTGATCCGAAGGTGCCTCGGCCAAGCTGACCAGGACGACAGCAAGTGGCATGAGCTTTCGGATGACGAGGAGTCAGACGAGGAGGCAGCTTGAGATTTCAGAAACAACACGTCAGACTGGAGAGGCCACTTGTGAAAGCCAACATGGTTAGAGGTGAAGTCTGTGGCGTTGCTTTGATGAGACATTTGGCCGATTTCCGTGCATTCGCTTTTCGGGTCCTCTCATCCGCGCTTCGACCTGAGCACTCAATGCATGCTTGACCGGGCTGGCTTAGAGTAAGCCACAAGTTGGGCAAAAGTCCGGCACCTTTCTTGCACGTTTTCTATGCAAGACGCATTGCCGCAGGTGAGCCAACCTCCCAAAGAGCCACGATCTTGGCGGGATGCGCTTGATATCGGGTTGGGTGGTTGCAGACTCACTCGGTAAACACGAGGGCATGCAGAAGAAGCCGTGCTCCTGGGTCGTTATCGGCCATGTTACAGCTGCTGTTTGGCTCAACGCAGCTCTTCCGCTACCTTTTTTGCTTCGATCCTTCAGACCTCCGTGACTTGGCATGCAGAAGCCGCGGCCAAAGACTGCCAGGGGTCTTACTTACATTCTCTGCGAGGCTGACAAAAGCTAGGGCGGGGCTTTTCCTGGCTCTTTTTTTTTGGGGGGGGCACCGCGTCATTTGAAATCTTTGGCCTTCCAGAGGCTTTACCAATTCACATGGAGCCTGACGTTCGGGACCCGGTCCCTTTCAAATGAGAATTGTCAAGTCAGGTTCCATGGGTCCATGTTAATTGGCGGGAGGGTAGTTGTATTTGGGGAGCGGGCGGGAAGATTGTGGGCACCACACTCGGTGTGACGGTGAAGCTGGGCTTGGCACGGCGGGGGGGGGGGGGGTCACGGGTGCATTTGGCACGTTCGGAGCCACATGTTTGGAGCGCGGCACGGGCTTTGATTGCGGGCTGGACTGGTTTGGCATTCAATGGCATCACATTGTCCGGGTGATGCCAAGCTTCAGGGGGACACGGACAATACAGTTAAAGCAACATTATTTTATTTTGCGGCTTTTTGCGGAGAAGAGCAGATTGATCAAGTAAAGAGATGCGACGCGATGGAAGGCATATTGAAGGTCCACCATTGTTTGCAAAACAAAGTGCGATGCTACTTTACTCCTCGATGCAGGCTCCGATTGCCAATGGAGCCCTTTCAGCACGCGATTGCCAGCTTACACCTACCTGCATGTGCCTGCCCGCCTGGCCTGGGGTGCCCGACATACCAGTATCAAGGCATTTGGCTGGAGCTGCGAACTACCCTCAACAATTGGACGTCGCCATGATGTGGGGCCGGAATCCCCTTTTGATTTTACCCTGTGAGGGTGCAGGCGCATCAAGGGCCAACCAACCTGCCAACCGCCCCCTCTAAGGAGATGCCGCTGCGGCTGCGTTCCAAGCCTTGGCCCAAGTGGGCGCGCCTTGCCTTGGCCCCTGCCCTGAAAGCCCGCCAGGCGCGGTCCATGAGTGTGGCGAGGCCATGCCAAATGAGCCACAAGTGAAGACGTCCGTAAGAGACAGTCCCAACCAGAAAACTCGGTGCGGCCGCCTTTTTCTGGTACTTTGCATTGGTTTGGGAGACCATTTTCAGACCGATCTGCAGTGATTGTGACACAAATGCCTTGTGTGCAAAGTGTAAGAGGAATGAATGCACACCCAAAGGTCAACATGGTCGGAGTGACACCTGTTGATCCTGAACCTCTCGGCCTTGGAAACCGCACAGCGACGTTGCTTGTCAAGCTTTCAAGGCCGTCCGCCCAGGTACCTGGCATGAGCAAGTTGTGGGGTGAATCCAGGTAAGCCTTGCAGGTAGAGTTCAGGTCATTTATTGAGGATGCGTTCCCCAACCTTCTCTTTGATTCGAGGCTAGGAGTACACGTCGCAACTGTTGCCAAGCGTTGCTAGGCTTGAAGTAGAAAGAGGAAAACAGGTGCGCCAGCAGTGCTGGTTGGCGTTTCCGTGCAGAAATGGGGCCCTCCTCAAGGCCTTGGTTCCACTGGGCTTTCGATTCGGTTTGATGGGAACTTCCGACAGCCCTGTCATCGCCAGGCGAACGGGTCGAAAAATGACCTTGAGCTTGGCGACCGCGAAGAGACCGGCATGAGGCACGCGGCAACCCGACGCGAAGATGGCGAAGCATGGTTGTTCACCACAGGTCATGATGAACTCGGAAACGCGCTGAAGCAGCATGTCAGACAAAATGACGGCTCTTGTAGGACGGGAGCTTGCCTGCAACATGACCTGTCATTGGGCAGGGCATTTTGAAAAAAACCTTGGCCAAGGTATCAACTCAAGAGGTGCTGCCTCCTGTTGAAAGTGCTTGCTTGAGGGCACACAGCCCACAGCCAAGCTGTGTGTCATTCTAGAGGGCTGACCTGGCATTTGGGAGGCGACTAGGGAGAGGGGGGGCTTTGGTTTCGCTAGGCGCCAGCTCCTGTTGGAAGCCCAGCACACCGCGCCTTCAGCCAGTGAGGAGGTGCCGTTGACCTCCCCGCGGGCAGCTTGGACCAGACCCATGTTGGGCGCATAATGGGCCAACGGCTTCTAACGAGAATATGATGCTGTTGCCAATGTCCATTTGGGTGTGGGTCAAAATTGAACCACCAGGGGACCGCAGGTTTTAGTCCATGTTTCCACTAAGGTTCCCTTCTGGGCATCAATTTTTGACCCACAGCCATTTCGTTCAGACACCACTTGGGTCGAGACCTTAAAGTTAGAGCGGGGTGGGGAGCCGAGGACGAAGAGATGGAGGGAGCAGCGGCGGATGCCGGTTCCCAGGACGGGGTTTCGGGTTTCCACTCGCGCCTTTCAAATGTCACACTTCAGGGGCCATGCAAAGGACCATTTTATTTTTGGGTGTTGGGGCACTCCTTTTCTGCACTATGTAACCTACAACTTGGTGTGTTGTTTGCAGTGATGCTGACAGCAGCAGCATCACGCCGACCAGAGAGGCCAGCCAGTCCAAACAGGCCTTCGCTGAGGAAAGCGAGATTCCTCCCATGGAGCAGTGCGCAAAAGCTCTCTGAATTCTGCACCACAAGCTTTGATGTTGAGCTGGTTTGGTCCTGTCCACGTCGTTGGAGGGAGGGTCGACTGACGCCATCTTGGCCAATCAATGTGTTCTGTGGAGTGAGGATTGCTTCGGGGCAAGTAGTATGGATTTAGAGCTTGCTTGCCCCCTGCTCTGAACTCTAGTTTCAACAGGGTCCTGCTTTTGCAGACGCAGACCTTTTGCTGGGATTCATACTCTCTTCTTTTGTTTATGTTTGTCAGCGGCAGCAGGATTCTCAAGCGCCACGCGAGAACGCGTTTATACATCACAGCACCTCCTGACGGGAGCCCCATTTCGCAATCCTCTCAACCGCTCTCCTTAGAGCGTTGCGTGCCCAAGAGAAAGGCAGGACTCACAAACATCTCGCCCCAGCCGAGTGACCTTTTCAGCCCAAAGCTGCTAGCCTGCTTTGGGCTGTTTGGCTAAGCCCGGGCTCCTCAGGCAGAGGAAGAGGAGGAGGACGCACCCACGAGCTTTCAGCAGTTGATGCAGTGGTCGGCTGCAGACAGGAAGGCCCGGCCCTTGGATGCATCGGTCTGGTTGAAGTAGGATGGCCTCTGCTTGTGGTCCCCAGTTGTTGCAGCCAAATGCGGTAGAAAACTTGAGGTTCTTCATGTTTTTGCAGCCATGCTTTCTCCACTGTAGCTAGAAGTATTGTAGAACAGTTTGTTGCTTGCTCCTGTCACTAGGAAACCAACCCTGCCAGGTGACACAAAACTGCAAAATTGAAGAGATAAAGTCTGCTCTTCGGATTGGTGAATGGTGGGGATCACGTGGAAGCTTTTGGCCAACAGGCCAACAAAATATGTTTGGCGGGCCACAAAGCCTCCATGGCTGTGCTGCAATTGCGAAACAAGTCGAGGGCCCCGAAAGAAATGCGATCGGCCCGTGGTTGGAGAAAGGAGCATGTGCTCAAAGAGGGCATTCCCCAACGGTTGTGCAGGCTTTGTCAATATCCTTCTGAGGGAAGAAGGGGGCTCCCGCTTAGCCCCTGGGTTGGAGAGAACGATGGCTCGCACAGATGCAGAGGCTTATAGGTGTGCTACACAGTGCGCCCTGCAATTATTCGCTTGGGACAATGGCCGGGAGGGCAAGCAAAGTGAGAACATTGTCATGTTGTCTATCCGGAAGACCACTTGTTTGTCAGTCTCAAAATTGCTTGAAGTAGTTCAGGAAGGGGCATTTCTTAGTTGCTCAGCGTGCTTGCCAAAGCAAGTCACAAGGCAGAAACATGTTTTAACAGCTTACTCTTCCAAAGCAAACAAAACTCGACCCTGAAAGCGTCATCATTCAACATAACTTCAGGCGTTGATCATTTTTGCAGTGCCCCAATGCATGCTGGACTTCGTCCCAAGTAGCAGGCCATGTTCCTTTCGCAGCTGGAGTGCAAACTTTGAAAGTCTGGCTGTCACTTCAGCTCGTTCAGGCCAACAACTTCGTCCCAATCTCTGGAAACTTGTACCGATGCTTGGCACTTTCCGATGCCCTGGGTTTGGTCCATTGAGTCCAGCACAAGTTGTAGTCCAAAACCATGCACGCTTTAGTTCTTGCTTCAATGATGGCGGGATGTCGCGGGTTTGGGGCTCCTGCTTCTTGACCCAACTTGCCTTGCTGCTTTGCAAGTTTCAATTTTGGGACACTGACGGGCAGTTCACAGGGCGAGACATGTGCAACAGCTTTTTGGCAGCAACTACCAAAGGAAAGTGCATACTCTGGCGCTTCTGCCCGCTAAGTCGATACTCAGAGAGGCCTTCGCGGAATCACCTCCGCTCCACTTTTCCTTGTTGTGTGACGCATCTTGTTTCTGCCAAGTGAGCCCTAATCAAAACTCGGGTACTGTAGATGAAGGTTAGCAAGGGGCTGTCCCAGCCAGAAATAGGTGCAGCCGCCTTTTAGCTTCCTTGCATTGATTTGGCTACGCCATGATTGTGAGTCATGTGCTCCTGTGTGAAAGTGGGTAGTGTCCGGGGTGTACCATTTCATGATAGCTGGGCTGAGCTGAACAAGTGACTGCTGATTCATACCCCTTGTGGCAAGATTTGAAAGCTTTTGCAACAGAGGCTGGAGTGATCCGTGCCATCCACTGTTGTCTTGCGCCATTGGCTACAAAACGGAGCCGCCCCAAACTCCCGCCTCCAAAACAGTCTATCCGTCTATTGTCATAGTGGAGCAGCTTTGCGCCAAAAGCAACTCAATTGGCGTGTGGAATTCTTGCCGGGCCTGCCTTTGTGATAGCGTGTCCAAAAAGAAAGCATGCCGCCTTCGTTGGAATAAA